AAACCATTTCAGGTGACTACCTCTTGAAGCTCATGGAGAGAATGCCAAGAGTGTGCAAAGCAGTAATCAGAGCAAAGGGTGGCTATTTTGAAGAAACTAGAATATAAAACATGTTTTCAGTTATTTCACCTTTTTTTGTTAAGTACATAACTCCACATGTGTTCATTCATAGTTTTGATGCCTTCAGTGAGAATCTACAATGTAAATAGTCATGAAAATAAAGAAAACGCATTGAATGAGAAGGTGTGTCCAAACTTTTGGCCTGTACTGTATATTTATATTTATATTTATTTATTTTTGTAAAGAGAAGGAAACCCTACCTGGATACACATACACAACAACATAATACAGATACTGGTCTCCTAACACAGAAAAACCTAGGAATGAACATGATCTAAAGAGAGGCAAGATATGACTAAATTTTCATCAGTGTACTGGACTCAGGATGCTAGCAAAATTAATTGCTTTCAGGTCATCTTCCTTTTGGCTCTCCATTGCACCTGTTGTTGTCACTTTCATTTGCACCTAAAGCAGGTGGCACTGACTCACAATCACTTGTGCTTCCTAAAGGGACAGATTGATATATCTGAAGTTTAACTGACTTGGTGTTATACTTAATGGTTAAGTGTTCCCTTCATTTGTTGAGCAGTGTATTATTACTAATAGGGTATATAAAAGATTATGATTTACCTCCAAGCAGGTGTTAAGATGGCATATCTAACCTTGCTGGAAGATATTACAGTCTGTGCCTTCAGGTTAGGGCGCATCAGAGGCTGACATGTTTGAACGTGTTTGAAGAGAGTGATGAAAGCTTATCAGCTGACTGCCATTACATTCACAGACGCTCAATGATGATCAGACACTGCTGTGTCAGGGCTTTAATATGTGTGTAGAAAAATCTTCACTGCTTTCTCCATGATATACCTCTGGGCAAATGTATTTCCCTACCTAGAGAAATGCGGGTGTGGCAGTACAGGATAGCAGACACACACCTGTCAGTTTTGATTCACCAACATATGCATGGTGGTAAGAACAAAATCACCTGTTGCACACGTGTCTTGAATCTCACTGTAATTTTGCGTGAGTGCTTATTTTATGCAGAGTGAGAACATTCCTACCCACACATTAGTGAACGAGGCCCAATGTCCTTTCATATCTTTTCCTTATGACTGGAAGCATATTTCAATTCATGTTCCACATTCGCTGGAACAAAATGTGAGCTTTTCTATTAAGAATATACCTTTCCTAACCATTTAACGAGATGAAATGCATTTTAAATACCATACCATCGCCACAGTGTTAAGTTAATTTATCAGTCTGACCCAAAAGCAGTAGACAAGGTTTAGGAATCTAATTTCTTAACGCTAGACTGAAGCAAAGTAGAGTCTGTGGGGATGAGAAAGTAAATGTGGTGCAGTCAATGTTAGCTCAGGGCTGAGTTAAGATTCGAGTCATGGAAGATCCATTGGCAAAAATGGAGAATCTAATTTCATTATGTTGAAATCAGCGATCCAGTATGTTTGCAAATTACTTCTCATCACTCCTGGACTGTCTTGGCATCACACAACATGTCAACCTCCCAACCCATAACGAAGGTCACATACTGGACTTAATCTGCTGCACTGACATCACTCCTACTAATCTTGCTGTCACCCATTTCCCCATTTCTGACCACAAAGCTGTACTATAGCTTTTTTGTAAAAAGCTGTATATATGTATATATGTGTATATATATTTACGTTTGTTAATAATTCCTGTTTATTTAAATATATATTTGTAAATACTATTGTTTAAATTTCTTATATTTTCTTGTATCTTTCCTCTCTTGCAAGGAGCACCTGTAACATAAATAATTTCCCCTCGGGGATCAATAAAGTATTTCGGATTCTGATTCTGATGATTCTGAATTACACACAGCCAAAGAACAACGGACCATCTCCTTTAGAAACATCAAACACATCAACACCACAGATCTCTCCACCCTGATCAGCTCCTACCCCAGCCCTCCCTCAGCCTCCTCCCCTGCTGACCTGGTGAATCATTATAATAACGTCTCTCCTCATCCCTCACCACCTTGGCTCCCCTGAAAACCCGCTCAGTTTCATTCACACACACTGCTCCCTGGTTCACCCCTGACCTCCGCCAGCTCAAAGCCACAGGCCGTCAACTGGAGCGATTGTACAAAAAGACCAGACTCACTGTACACAGCCAAATGTATTCAGACCACCTTCACCACTACAAGAACACCCTCACCACTGCCAAATCTTCATACTACTCCAACCTCATCAACACTGGTACAGTTAACAAGAGAATCCTCTTCTCAACATTCAGCCACCTACTTCAGCCTCCTAAAACCCTCCCTCCAGACATTTCCACTGTTCCACTGTTTCCTGGACTTCTTCAGCTCCAAAATCAACACCATTCACCAACAACTGGCCTCATCTTGCACCTCTTCAAATGATCCACCCTGGATGATCACCATTGGCCAACCTCTCACCAGCTCCTTCACCGACTTCACCCTGGCATCAGAACACACCATCTCTGAACTCATCCGTAAAGCCAAAACCACCACATGTCAGCTTGATCCTCTTCCCACCTCCCTTGTCAAAGCCTGTCTGCCGTCCATTTCCCCCATGATCACAAACATAATTAACTCCTCCCTCACCACTGGTACTGTACCCCCCACTCTCAAACTAGCTGCCATCACACCCATCCTGAAAAAAACCGGTGCTGACCCAGCTGAACTTAACCTCTACCGGCCCATCTTCAACCTTCCCTTCATCTCCAAAACACTTGAAAGGGTGGTTGCCGCACAACTACAGTCCCACCTCAATACATACAACCTCCACGAACCCTTCCAATCCGGTTTCCATCCAAAACACAGCACTGAAACAGCCCTGGTCAAAATCACCAACAACCTCATCCATGCAGCCAACTCAGGACTACTCACCATTCTCATCCTCCTGGACCTCAGCGCAGCATTCAACACCATCTCCCACCCACTACTCCTGGACCGCCTGGCTGGCATTGGGATCACTGGTGTTGCACTCTCCCGGTTCACATCATACCTCACCGACAGTCAACAATTTGTGTATCTAAGGAACCACAAGTCTGGGTGTTTGGGTGTTTCACTGGGTGTCCCTTACGGGTCAGTCTTGGGTCCACTTCTCTTCATCATCTACCTCATCCCTCTGGGCACAATCCTCCGTCACCATGGGGTCCACTGTCACTGCTAAGGCGGTGGTCCCTCACCACCTGTCTTGAAGACATCTGGAGCTGGATGAGCAGGAACTTCCTGAAACTAAACGGCAATAAAACTGAGGCCCTACTCATCTGCTCCAAATCCACCCTCACCAAGTCACAACACACCCCAGCTCCAACCATCATCATCGACGGATTCCCTGTACCCTTTTCCTCCCAAGTCAAGAGCCTCTGTGCCATTCTGGACAGCACCCTGTCATTTGCATCTCATATTCAAAACATCACCCGGACTGCATTCTTCCACCTCCGCAACATCTCCAGACTCCGCCCATCACTGTCCCAATCCAGCACCAAAATCCTGGTTCACTCATTTGTCACATCCCGCAACGACTACTTCAACACCCTCCTCACCGGCCTCCCCACCAAACTCATCAACAGACTGCAAATCATTCAGAACTCGGCCACAAGGATCATCACCTGCAGCAAATCATCTGATCACATCACCCCTGTTCTTATCCAGCTTCACTGGCTCCCTGTACAATACCGCATGCACTACAAAAAACTTCTCCTCACCTACAAAGCTCTCCACAATCTAGCCCCCACTTACCTCTGTGACCTCCTTCAGGAATACACCCCCTACCGCACCCTCCGCTCAACCTCTGCTGGACTCCTCACCATCCCCACCTCACGCCTCAGTACCATGGGTGCTGAGCCTTCAGCTGCTCGGCACCCAGACTCTGGAACTCCCTCCCCCAACACATAAGCCAGTCAGACTCTATCACATCATTCAAATCCTAACTCAAAACCCACCTGTTCAAACTGGCATTTTCACTCTAACTGGACACTGTGCACTACACTTGTTTTTATGTTGATGTTTGGTTTTAATGATGTCTCCTCTATGCTCTGTAAGGTGACCTTGGGTGACTTGAAAGGCGCCTCCAAATAAAATGTATAATTATTATTATTATTATTATCATCAACACTAAGACAATTTCTTTTCTCTTCTCTGCTTTCTTTCTGTAATTATTCATTTTTTGTTTCGCCACCTCTTCCCTGCATGCCTGTTTCCCAAAATTTCTTCTTTTCTTTTTACTTCAAATCATTCTTTTTCAGTGATTTTCTGTTCTTTTCTCACCATTGTGGTCTTCATCCTGTGCCCCTGCATGGGTGAGTAGGTCCGGTTTGTTTATAAGGCGGGAAGCATAGAGGTGTTTGAGGCCCAGGAATAGGAGCAGGATGGAGGGAACAATCTGAGCGGCGACTCCCTCTAACACTGCTGGCCGGTTGGGCAGCTCCATCAGCACGCTCAGGCCAATGATGCACATTTTACGGTCATGGAGCCTGCGGAGTGGATCAGAAAAAGGAAGAAGCAGACTGAGAGGGGAAGCAATTGACGGTATCAAGTTCTAAAAATAAGTTTGATCTACAAAACATTGCATGTTTGTCAAGATATTTCCAGGTGTTGAAAATTTGTGATTAAAAGTATTAAATTGGCTATTACAAATATAGAATTGAGTGGTAAAAATGGTCAAAATCCTTTCAAATCACCAAATTAAGACACCAAGACCTTGAGGAAAGCCAGAGAAAAATCCATTATGTGATTTGGTATCAAATAGTTTTGACATTGGGAGATTTCTGTAAGAGCTGCATTTTTTTGCAATTGGATGATGAGCACTTCTGTTCTGGAAGCTGCTCAGAAACCCCCTTATTGTCAATATGCCTATGAAAGCCATACATCCTCTGCATGCCTAAGGTCTCTAGTTTGGGGATGTGAAGTTTAATGCAGCTGTGATTATCATGAAGATCCAAATAGGTCATTTTATCTGTGAAGTCAAGTTTCAAAACATGGTCTCACTTCAATGAAATGGCTACTACGGGGACAAATATTCATTAGATTCTATATTTTCATTTCAAATGGTGCCATTTGTTCCCTGTGCTTAAAATAAGTAAAAGCAGCTACTAAACTCAGAAACCAAGTTGGTTTATCATGAGGGATCTAGCCAAAACCAATAGTGTGTCTCAAATCACATACTTCCATTAGTACACTTCTATGTCGTATACTATGTGCACTATGCACTCACTGGCATAGTGCGCGAATTTCAACAGGGTAGTGTTGTCTCAAACCAAACACGGCCGTTGTGCACTCACCGGAAATGACGACCGCAAATTAGCTAGTTAGCAAACTAGCATTAGCATTCGCATTATCGTTCTGCTAAATTAACCCAATAAACATACTGCTGGCTTATACCCGACAACAGTATAGTGGTGCTTAGTGCAAAAAACACATGCATTTGTACAATGCAGCGACGTTCATGGTCGCACAGTCCTCGGCCGCTATTTCCAGTTTGAAAAGCGGTCCCTCCTCTTCTGCTACGTAGCCAATATGGCGACCATTGAGGACGAGAAGTGACCATAGTTCCACACTCAACTTTCTGACCGTTTTGAGTGCACCATCCGGGTACTCATAGTGCACTGCATTTTTCCATACTTCTCAGTGTGAACACACTTATGCACTCAAAATATTAAGTGTAAGTACAGAAGTACACGATTTGAGACACAGCACAAGTTATGGATGGAAGCCATTTTGAAAGTCCAAGAGGGTCACAACGAAGACTTTGAAAAAAATTGAAAAAGTGATTTTGGGATATGGTACAATCTAAAAGTTTGAAAAAGATATAGTTTATCAACTCCCCAAAGGTTTTGAAATAAAGTTGCAATCAGGACATTGTGAAGCTGACTAAGATGAGATACATATTTATTACTGAGCCTTAGATGTGTTAGTAGATGTTGATCTTTGGTTGAAGGCTAGCCATTTCCCTCTACTTCCATGCTTTATGCTGAGCTTGGCTAACCACGTCCTGACTCAAGCTCTGTAATTACTGCAAAGAAATGAGACTGATATCAATCTTCTCATCTAACTCTCAGAAAGAAAGTAAATTACTGTAAATCTTCAATTAGTAGCCTAGGCTATTGTTTGCTTGAATCACTGAACTCAACAGGTGTCTATATGGGACAGGCCTTTAATTCCTTTTACACAAAACTGTTGCTCAGCAAAGATGGGAAATATAATCAAATTATTTATTTAAAGCAGTGTGAATATTAGGCTTTGAATAACATATCAATTATGTGTTGTGTTATGACACTTGTTTCACAGCACCTAAGGATAACAGCACTTGGCATACCAACACAACACAACACAACTTTATCCTGTCAAAAAAGTATTTATGATATAACCTGGATTAATTTTTTATGAAAAACCCTTTTGATCATTGGTCCCTTACAGACTAAAGAAGTATTAATGACCTACCACGTAATCGAGGAATGGACAGATATTCTGACCTTATGACAACTTCAGAGGAAGGGAGTCACCACTTGTTTTTTCATCATGCCAGTAAATCTGAATGACTTAGGGTCCTCTCCAGTGAGGACGTGGTTTCAGTAAAATGAAATCAACCCAGCTAACGATGTTTAGCATCTCCATATTGACAAAAGTTAAAACATTTATATTTGTATGCACGATCGAAGCAGCAAACTAATGTTAGCTCAAGTGGGCAGTCAACAGTCAGGTTTTATACATCCAAAAAACTTCTATAAAAAATTAACTGCTTGGCAACCATACCAGACATCTCATTGGGACAGGCTTTTATTTGTCTAAATGTGTAGCGACACCAGGTTAGTAAAAGGAACTGGGCGTTTAATTGAGACGAGGCTTTCAACTGAAGTTATATGTTAGTGTATTTAAAAACTGAAACTTTTTGAATTTTCGTCGTCTAAAACCTTTTAAATTTTTGTTGACTAAAACTTTTTGAATTTTCGTCCACCAAGACTTCATAAATTTTCATTGACTTAAAGCGCCACTTACCTTTCTGGAATTTTTACGCTTTTCTTTGTTTAGGTTAAAATGCTATTAATAAGCTGATGGCACACTAAAATGTAAGTGAATTCCAACAGAGATAAAAACCCATAATTACACCATTCTCATATTAAAACTCCGACCAATCATTGCATTCGGACCGAAAGCAATGATTGGCCGAGCATCCTGTCTGTCTTTCCCACGTGGATGCCTCTGAGTGACGTAACCGCTCGCATAACGCCCCCTGATGATGAGACTGATGCAGCTTCATCCTGAGCTAAAAAGGGACGAGACGGTCGCAGAGTTTCTGCTGGACAGGTATTTTTAGTTTGCCTCTAATGTAACATAGGCTATAACGTTATATATGACAACAGAGCATCCAGTTGCTAACGGTTAGCCTACTGTAGCCTAACGTTGCCTGAGCCTCTGTATTATCTTCCTTGTTTGTTGCCAGTCACCAGTACAGGACAGGTTCACACATGGCCATAGGCAGCAGTGTTAAGCCAGGCAGGGGAAAGCCAAATTCTCCGAAAATGAGCAATCGTCAGAATTTTGGTCTTAAGCACTGTATTTCGTCATAAACAACCCAGAAATGCGGCTCAAAGTGCAAAATACGGGACTTCTCCTTTAACTAGTTCAAAACATCTTAAGTGTCCCTCTCACCCCAGGAAGAACTCTGTGTCGTTCATCCATTGGTTGATGAAGTGGGCAGTGATGGGCTGAGGGCTGTGTTGGAAGTGCATGTTGTCCAGAGTGTGGATGAGCAGGGCTGGGTTGTAGTACAGAGCAGCAATGGCCACCTGCAGGCACATAGTCCTCAGCTCACTGGACTTCACCCCCCGCATCAAACGCTCCAGAACTGCCTCCACAAACAAAGGGATGCACTGCATGGAAGAAGCACAAAGAAATGATGGTGCCGTTTCACTTTTGGTGGAGTATTGGTCAGTGTCCTGTCTGAGAGTCGTAATTTCTTGTTTAATCCCCATTTTAAGTTTGTCTTTAAATATTGTCAACTCGTCTTTAAGTTCATGTTTTAGGTCTGTTATGTCTCTGCTAATGTTAGCTAGTCCAGTTCTCAGTGCCTTAGTGTGGTCAAACTGGTCAATTTTTCTCTGCCGTGTTGTCCTTGGTTTCACTTTTGTTGTGCTCCCCTTTCACTGCAAGCTGCTTTTAAACTTTAACTTTGATTGTTTCTCCAGCTTTTGTGTTCATTCTACTCACTCACCTTTTAGTTTTTTATAGCATTTGTATATCAAGTTACATAGACTGAGTAGGTTTATTTAACCTGAGCTAGCTAGTAATTAAGCACCCATTTGGTCCACAATGAAAAAGTATTTTAACAAAATCAATGTTTTTTAAGATTATTTTTGGGCTTTTGCTTTTATTAGACAGGACAGCTTCATCATCAGAGAGGGACAGAGAGAGAGGGGGGATGACATGCAGCAAAGGGCTATGGGACAGAATGCAACTTGCATCCACTGTGGCATGGACACAGCCTTTGCACATGGGGCACCCGCTCTACCAGGTGAATTTATGTGTGCCCCAACAACATCCACTTTTTCATGTTACATATAATAATATGTAAATATGTAACAATAGTATTTAACTATAATTACTACCCCACAGTTGTATGCCTCCACGTACCAGTCAAGTTTCTCTCCCAATTTACATCCATGTGTGTGAAAACATGCATGCTTCACACCCACTTTCATCCTGGCAGCACAGAAGATCTATACAATCAGCAGTTTCATAGTGGACACACAAGCCTAGTGTCACCAGTTCAGTATCTGACTAAATGTCTCCCCTTCTGTTCCTGAATTATGACTTTTAATAATGACCAGAAAATTGTTGTATGCAGAACATTATGATGTCACAGTGAAGCTGACCTTTGACCTTTTAGATATTAATGCCATTACTTCATTATTTTATCCTATTAGACATGTGCGTGAAGTTTTGTCATAATTAGCATGTGAATTCTTTTGTTAAAACCAAAAATATATTTTGTCAGGTCACACTGACTTTGACCACAAAATTCTAATTAGTTTGTTCTTCAGCCCAAGTGGATGTTTGTGTCAAAGTTAAAGAAATTCCCTTAAGGTGTTCTTGAGATGTCCTGTTCAGGAGAATGAGACAGATGCAAGGTCACGTTGACCTTGACCTTTAACCAGTGAAATCTTATCAGTTCATTGTTGAATCCAAGTGACCTTTGTGCCAAAGTTAAAGAAATTCCCTCACTGTGTTCTTGAGATATTGCATTTACAAAGCTAGACAGACAAGGTCACAGGGACCTTGACCTTTGACCTATTGCCACCAAAATCAAATCAGTTCATTCTCAAGTCCAAATCAACCCTTGTGCTAAATTTGAAGATATTCCCTTTAAGTGTTCTTGAGATAACGCATTTACGAGAATGCGACAGACAAGGCAGGGTTCGACATAACCCATGGCCCGATGGCCCGGGGCCAATCAAAAAGTATGTCGGGCAAGTTGACTGACAGGTGACAGGCCCGCTCGCAGTGACGCTGTAAAGCTTTTTTTGTCAGGGGAACAACTCCAGCGGATTTTTATCCCACTTTTCTCGAGCCTTCAGTGGATTTATTGGGCTTTTTGGCCAAAGGTGCCCTCACCTTTGCTCGTGCAATGAAACACCGGAGGAGGGGGAAACGTGCCGGTGTGCTTGTGTGTCTCCGCCAACGCGGACACCACTGCCATGCAGGTATATTTCTCTCCAACGTGCGTTCGCTGGCCAGTAAACTGGATGAACTTCAGCTACTGATAGCGAAAAACGGATACTTTTCTACACCTGCAGTTTTGTGCTTCACAGAGACGTGGCTGTGTGGATCGATACCGGACTCTGCGCTGCAGCTGGCGGGCTTCCAACTCTTGAGCGGATCGTAACATGGAACTCTCCGGCAAAACTAAAGGTGGAGGTATCTGTTTTTACACTAATGGTGGCTGGTATAATGACGTGACAGTAATCCAGCAGCACTGCTCTCCTGATCTGGAATCTTTTTTTCATCAACTGCAAACCTTTTTACTCCTCCCCTGAGTTTGCTTCATTCATTCTGGTCGGTGTTTACATCCCACCGCAGGCAACATGCAGGAGGTAGGCAACAGCGCATGCTCGCCGACCAGATAGGCTACTGTGTGTGGAGCGGACTCCTTAGTTATTGTCCTTGGCGACTTTAACAAAGGTAACCTCACCCATGAACTCCCCACATACAAACAGTTTATAGATTGTCCGACCAGAGAGAAGAATATCCTGGATCACTGTTACACAACTATTAATAATGCCTATCACGCCGTCACCCGCGCTGCACTGGGCCACTCTGACCACAACACTGTCCACCTGATTCCCTCATACAGGCAGTTAAAGCTCTGTAAACCTCTTGTGAGGTCATCTAAGAAGTGGATGAGTACACAGAGGCTGTGACATCATACATCAGTTTCTGTGAGGACTGCTGTATACACCATCACGCACTACGATGAGGTATAATAAATTAAATGAAATGAAGTTAAATTAAATGAAGTTTTATATTCATTTTTTCTCTCTCTCTTTTTTACTTGGGCCAGTAAGAATATACAAGGGGCCAGTAAAACTCTGAACTACTGGCCCAGGGGGCCAGTGGGGAAAAAATGTTATGTTGAACACTGCAAGGTCACACTGACTTTGACCTATGACCCCCAAAAACTGTTCACTTAATTGCTGAGTCCTAGTGGACATTTGTGTCAAATCTGAAGAAATTCCCTTGAGGCGTTCTTGAAATATTGTGTTCACAACGATGGGACAGACGAGGCATACAGATGTACGGATGGATAACCCTGAAAACTTTATGCCTCAGGCCACAGCTAGTACTGGCGCAGAGGCATAAAAAGCATCCAGTTCAAAATAATTTCAAATTAATACATTTGGAACAAGAAATGTGGTGTGAGTGAAGGAGTAATTAAATTAAAGCAGGGCTTTGGGGTATGTCAAACAAAGAAGGTTGGGAATTACTGTGTTAAATACATAGATTTTTTCAAAACTTATGTTGTTTATGTTAGTCACCGATTACATAGAAATGAATGTCTGTACTGTGTGCGGCTGCTTCTGACCTGGTCAATGCCTCTACCCCTGCACTGCAAGATGACGACCTCCAACAGTTTGGCAGCGTGACACTCTGCATCCTCACCTGCATCCACAGTCAGCACCTAAAACAGGGGAAAGGTCCAAATAGCTGACCAGTCAAGACTCAGTAGCATCGATGAGAAAACAGGATCTTTGCTCACATTTTATGTAACTCCAAACAGCAGGTGAAGACACTTAGAGTCTTACCTTTTTGCACATGCTGTAGATGACCTCTAAGTGCTTAGGGTTGGACAGGAGCATGTCTGTATCCACAGTAATATAGTTGTGCAAAAGAGGCATCATATCTGTAACACAAACAAAGAACATCATTAGAATTACCGCCATTTTCTGATGGTTATTGTATCAACATGCAAATAGTAACATTTATTTACCAGGTAGACAGTAGTGCTTAAAAATGTTAGAGTACTACAATTAACTTTTTTGGCTAGTAGATAGTTGTCTTTCAAAGAACTAGTTTTCATGTCTCACTATGGAATATTCACAGAAGCACTTATTCCATTACTCCAGCCCTGATTAACTGGCACTTGTGACGCCGGCATCCACATCTGTTGCCTTTACATACAGTGGCATGCAAACATTTGGGCACCCCTGGTCAAAATTTTGTTCAAACGGTGAGTGGTTAAGTGAGTAGGAAATGAATTGATCTCCAAAAGGCAGCTGGAAAGCAGGAGAAGGCTGGAGAAGCAGGAAGGCTGTAAGAAGATAGCTAAGTGTTTTCAGGTAGCTGTTTCCTCAGTAGTTAAGAATTGGCAGTTAACAGGAACTATGGAGGTCAGGTTGAGGTCTGGAAGACCAAGAAAACTTTCCGAGAGAGCTGCTTGTAGGATTGTTAGAGAGGCAAATCAAACCCTCTGTCTGACTGCTAAAGACCTGCAGGATGATTTATCAGACTCTGGAGTGGTGGTGCACTGTTCTACTTTGCTGCAACACCTGTACAAATATGACCTTCATGGAAGAGTCATCGGAAGAAAACCTTTCCTGTGTCCTCACCACAAAATCAAGCATCAGAGGTTTGTAAAGGAAAATCTACAACAAGCCTGATGCATTTTTGGAAACAAGTCCTGTGGTCTGATGAAGTTAAAATATAACTTTTTAGACACAATGAGCAAAGGTATGGTGGAGAAAAAAGGGTGCAGAATTTCATGAAAAGAACACCTTTCCAACTGTTAAACACAGAGGTGGATTGATCAGGCTTGACTTGCAGACAGTGACACGGGGAACATTTCACAGGTAGAGGGAAGAATGGATTCAGTTAAATTCCAGCAAATTCTGGAAGCAAACATCACACCATCTGTAAAAAAACAAGCTAAAGATGAAGAGAGGATGGCTTATACAACAGGACGACGACCCTATACACACTTTGAAACCCCCAATGGACTGCCTCAAGAGGCACAAGCTGAACGTTTTGCCATGGCTCTCACAGTTTCCCAACCTACACGTTTAAAAAAAAAATAGACCTAAAAAGAGCAGTGCATGCAAGATGGCCCAGAAATCTCACAGAATTAGAAGCCTTTTGCAGGAAGAATGGATGAAAATCCCCCAAACAAGAACTGAAAGACAATTAGCTGGTTACAAAAGGTGTCTAGAAGCTGTGATACTTGCCAAAGGGGGCACTACTAAGTTCTGATTATGCAGGGTGCCCAAACTTAGCCTTCAGGCCGTTTTCCTTTTTTGTTATTTCAAAACTGTAAATGATTGAAATAAAAAAGTATTCTTGTTTAAAATAATGAAGAAATGTTTCAGCTCTAACCTTTTGCCTTTTGGAAATCAGTTCATCTTCTACTTACTTAACTACTCATGGTAAACAAAATTTTGACCAGGGGTGCCCAAACTTTTGCATGCCACTGTGTCCCTGGCACAGTGTTGTTCATTATTCAAACATCTCTTCTTGCTTCAAGGGCCAGTCTATCTTGTATCATTTTCCTGGGCTAACAACAGTAGCTTAACTATGGTCTGACCAAAAAGTAGATTAATTTAAAAAAAAAAAAAAAAAAAAGGGAGCACTGCCAAAGCACTGCCGAAGCCCTACAAAGGGACGTCCAGCAGGCTACTGGTGTGCATGCTTCTGACAAAACTGTCAGAAACAGACTCCATGAGGGTGGCGTGAGGGACTAACGTCCCCTAGTGGGACCTGTGCTCACAGCCCAGCACCATGCAGCTTGACTGGCATTTGCCAGAGAAGACCAGAATTGGCAGGTCTACCAGTAGTGTCCCATTTTCTTGGGAACAGGTTCACACTGAGCACTACAGACATGAAAGAGTCTGAAAATGCTGTGGTGAACGTTATGCAGCCTGTAACATCATCCAGCTTGACTGGTTTGATGATAGTTCAGTGATGGTCTGGTAGGCATATCCTTGGAGGGTCGCACAGACCTCCATGTCATAGCCAACATTACCCTGACCGCTGTTAGGTGCAAGGATGAAATCCTCAGAGCGACTGTCAGACCTTACACTGGTGCAGTGGGCCCTGGGCTCCTCCTGGTGCAGGACAATGCTCCGCCTGAGTGTGTAGGCAGCTCCTGGATGACGAAGGCATTGATGCCATTGACTGGCCTTCTTGTTCTACTGACCTAAATCCAATCAAGCACCTATGGGACGTTATGTATCGGTGCATCTGACACTGCCAAGTGTTGCCAGTGCCACAGACTTTCCAAGAGCTCACTGTTGCCCTGATCCAGGTCTGGGAGGAGATCCCACAGGACATCATCCGCTGACTCATCGGGAGCATGCCCAAACACTGTCAGGGGTGCATACAAGCACGCAGGGGCCATACACACTACTGAGTCACATTATGAGTTGCTGTGATAAAATTTACAGTTGTTGGATCAGCCTGTGATTTAAATTTTTTACTTTGATTTTCTGTGTGATTTTTAATCCAGCCCTCAGTGGGTTGATGATTTTGGTTTTCATTGACAGTTGTTACATCATTTTGTTCTCAATAATTATCTGATGTACATCAGTTAAGATTTTCAACTTGAATAATTCGTTCATCAAGATCTGATGTATGATTTAAGTGTTCGCTTAATTTTTTCGAGCAGTGTATTTATACAAAAGAATGATCACTTTTATCATGTCACAAAAATATGAGTTTAAATTATCCATATCAGTGGCAGTTCTAGCACATCTGGTGCCATATCCTAGCTAACAATAAAAAAATAAGATAAAAATTTGTGCTAATTTGCTTTTGGTAACATGTTGTACATGTGTTATAATAATCATATAAATCAACAATAAATTTTAAAAAGAATTACAAATAACTTGTCCAGAGGAATAAACAATAAAATAATATATAACATTGTAAAATAGTAATAAAATTCAATAATACACATTTATGAAATAACCTTTAACATAACCTTTCATATGAAAAACATCTTTAAAAAATAAGCTAAAAGCCTTTTTACTATATATGATACAGCATAATTCCTTCTCTCCAATATCTATTTTATAGTGCTGTGAAAACATGAACACATTTCTCCTTCACACAGCTGGATTTATTCAAGTTTCTCACCAAAAGCTACATTTTACAAGATTACACTGAACACATCATGAGAACATTATAATTGACCTTCGCCCAGAACTCATTTTTACTGAATAGAGCTTTAACACTTTACAGTGTAAATCAATGCAACCTCTGTGAGCTGTTCTATTTCATCCCTCCTGACTGCCAGAGGCGGTGCATAAGCACCAGATAACCCCGCCTGCACTAGCACATGTCGAGTACGAATATCAACAATGTCACCTGTGACTCCTGCATGTTCCTTCATTCTTCTCGCGACCGCGTGTCGAGGTGTACGTGAGTAAGTCAGGCACGGCCGTTTCTATGGCTTAGTACTATCCTTCTCTACTATTGGTTTACACGTGCTGCTGGCTTTGTGCAGCCTTGTGCCTCTGGGGTAGGAGTAATGGGCTAGCGCTCGTCCTCCGAGAGGCTGTAGCTGGCGTGTTGCATGGTTGTAAATGTGTTTGCCTGCTTTGGATTACTGTGAGCAGGTCAGTGTAGAATTCTGATGACTGTTTTCTGTGTTTTGCAGTTTGGGATTAAAAGTTTGAAGGAAGCAATTGTGTTGGTGAAGGTGGTGTTTCCACTTCCCTCTCCCAGCTCAGTTGTGCTTTTATTAAAAAAACAAACAAAAAAAAAACAAATAAAAGAGACAAGAAGGCTGGTAACCCTTGTGGTGACGGATGCGTGTCTGCCCCCTCTCCAAACTTGGTCTGGTGTTTTCTATTGTGTTGACGTCTCCGTTCCCGGCACTGTCACACTTTTCAGGGATTCTTGCTGGCTTTTTCTCCACCCGGTTATGGATGGCATGCCTGTGGCAGCTGCATGGCCTCCCATGAACCTGGGAGGCCATCACTGAGGAGGCGTGCATGAATTGTCATATCATGCCTCGGTCGGTGAGGTTGGCTAGACTGGCTAAACTGGATCCCTTGGTCTGTCTCCCTTCATTCCAGTCTGAGGGTCCCTTCATTCCAGTCTGAGGGGGCGGATTTCTGAGGGACCACTGCGCAGAAGAGGTCTGCCACACGGGGAGGTGATGGTGCTCCTGCGAAAAAGAGGAAGGCAGCAGGGACGGACCAGCTCTCCTCCAAGGTTGACCGCTTGGCTGCTGATATGGAGCAAATGAAGGCGCTCCTTCTGAGTCTCCAGCCTGCTGGTGGGGTAGCGCCTCCTGCTGTAATGTCTGCCCAGGAGTCACCGCTGCCACAGGCCGACGGCTTGCAGGTCTCCACAAAAGAGCATCTGCTTCCAGTAGGTCGGGGGCTTTTCCATCTTGCCCTAGGGGTCCCACACAACCACCTTCCCGGGGTGGCCATTGTCAGCCAGCAGGTGACTTTCGCTCCGCGCTGCGCCGCTCACTATGTAAGCCCCGGGACTCCAAGCCTGACCACCGCACTTCTGGCTCCTCCAGGGGCCGGGTTCTGCCACTTCATATGCTGACCACAGCGGACGTTATGCGAGTGATCAGTCAGGGCGAATGGTTCACGTCCACAGATTTGGCAGATGCATATTTTCATGTGCCCATCGCGGTTCATCATCAGCCCTTCCTGCGGTTTGCCTTTCAGGGCCACCACTATCAGTTTAGGGTACTCCCCTTCAGGCTTTCCCTGTCTCCAAGGGTCTTTACTCGATGTGTTGCAGCAGATCTGGCACCTCTGCAGGCAGAGGGCATGAAGGTGCCATATCTGGACGATTGGCTGGTGTGTGCGCCTTCCCGGGCCCAGGTGGTCCAGGATACAGACCGTCTTCTGGCACAAGTGGCCCGGCTGGGCCTCGAGGTCAACA